TTTGAAATGTCACAAGAGTATTAATTTTTGTCATTTCAACGCCTAGGCATAAAAGTAAAGCACTTTTACACTGAAGCACAAAATTACAAAAATATATTATTAAACTGATATTAAACGTCAATTTCAACGAGTGTACAAATTGTTACTCAATTACTTACAAGGTATTACTTTTTATATTATATGCAACGTTTGAAATTGATTAAAAATTTTTTTGTAATATTTAATTTGTAAAAATATAGTAATATTCTACACGGAGTAAAATTGTACTTTTGTGGCTCCCTGTTTACGCTAGTCAACCGTATAACCTCGTCAAAAAAAGTATAATTTTTACTCCTTACACAATACACTATTGTCCGGAAATAGTCTTAGGTCGAGAATGAAATTAGTATTATTTTGGTATTATCTATTGTCAAAGTGTAAAATACTTACTGCAGGTCGAAATTTCGGTAGAAATTTGGAAAGAACTAGTAGATAAATTGATGAAGGCAGAAGTTATCTTCATCAATATACAGCTGTTTCAAAAAAAATATAAAACAACATATTTTCTGACAACGATTTGAAGATACAGTCTAACATCTAAAGAACCTTTTTCTGCACTAGAGGTTGCGAATGAAATGAATTCTAATAGCGTTTTTTTGTCACTAGTACATAAATTTCAAAGCAAATCCCTGCCCTTTAGAAGTGTAACGGATTCACATGAAATTACTTCTAAAATCGGTCCATCATTTTAATTGATGAATAGATATGTAGTAGGTATAGGTATGTGTATACAAATCATTTTTATATAGTTTATATAGTTAAGGCTACCATAGCAAACGCAACATTTTATTTAATGAATAGATATAGGGTATATCTGTTAGATATAGGGTATATCTGTTATAGAAATATTTTTTATAGTTTTCTAGGACACATTTTTATAACTTTTACATTTATTTTTCGATTTATTGTAAAGTTTTAAAAAAGTTCATTTTTTGATTTAAATCACGATTAAAATTAAAAATATCACTTGATTTAAATCACTATTTAAATCATGCCAACCCTGATCAATAATGACATGTATTGACTATTTCCATTCTAAATATCTTGAGAACGGTTGATCGTAGCGACTTTTACCAAGAGACATTTCTTTACGTAAAAAATCACAGAAATGAATATTTTTTCACTCAGTAATTTTATACAGGTACGGACGAAAAGTTATTACTCTCCAAAACAGTTAAAACACATGTAGATGGCGCCCTGTGCAAATAGGAGTCATATTGACATCAAAATCAAATTTCTCATGTCAAAAAACTCCCAGACACTAATTTTTATCCCAATGTTGACGTTACTTCAGAAATTATTTGGAAAGAATCGAAATAAAAATGAAACTTCTACACCCTCTATCTCCGAAACTAAGCATTTTAGGGTATACATTTATACGAACTTTTTTACTTATTTTTATCTGCAGGATATGATGCCGAAGTTTCCGGAATACAGTTCGGACCACCCTGTATATATACGGCCCAGAGAAAGCTACAATCACAAAACATCCCCCTTTAGAACTTCATCTGTCATGTTAAGAAATGAAAGTAAATAAGTAAGCGCCTCTAGTGTTTGTTCGTGTACTAAAAATTTGAATTATGTAAGGTATGGCCAAAATAATAAGATTATTTAGCGATCATAATATTTTAATTAGAATACTGTATATCGATACAATACAGAAAGCCAACTAACTAAAAAAATAATAATGTCCCTGCTCTCCTACCGTCGACCTCCCGATATTCATAAACAAAAACATCTTTATCGGTTTCATATACATACCGCCATTCACAAAACATCCCCCTTTAGAACTTCTTCTGTCATGTTAAGAAATGAAAGTAAATAATAAAGCGCCTCTCGTGTTTGTTCGCACTCAAAAAATTTCAATTAATGCCTGTATATATTTTTAATATATTTTTTAAATTTACATTTTTTTAATTGAAAAGTAATATATTACATTTAAATGGAATTTATTACATAACAATTATGTCAATTGCAGGATTACAAGCTTGTTTTCTAACATTTTTTAAATAAAACGAATTATAAAATTTCAATATATGTATATTTGTCGTAGGTATGAAAAAAGTAAAATAAAAAATGGACAAACGCTTACTTACATTGCAATAAAACTTCCACTTTTAGTTTTGCAATCCAAACGCAATATTTCTATTTCACAAATAAAAATATCCGACAACACTAAAATAACTGAAACTTCCGCGGCTGACAACGAAAACTGAAAAATATAACGGCACTTTTTGTTTTGGACCTGCATATTAACATTACGCTGTACTATTATGTGTTTGTTGTTGAAATAATATAAAATATCTAATTATAACTTGTAAATTTTAATATTTTAACATGATTTTAACTACTTTGGACAATAACTAACTTTTTATCAAGATGACATTTTAGACGGCAACTGACATCTATGTCATAATATTTGAATCTTAAATATGTATGTAATATAATTTAAATTACTATAATGCAACTTTATACTAAGAAAACATTTATACATTCACAAAATACAACAAAGTCTAATAATATAGTTTGAAAACAATGAATATTGAATTAAAATTGAAAAAGAGTTAAGTGCGACTGAAGCGCGACCCCTTGTGTAAAAATTAGATGATTAAATTTTCGCAATTTTTACACTATTTGATGATCGGTGGCGCCTCTAGTGTTTGTTCGGGCGGTTGGTCTTTTACTCCCGCTTATGGCCATTAAAGAAAAAGTTCTAAAGGGGGATGTTTTGTGCCGCCATTACTCGCTGACGAGTATTTGACACGCATCAGAAGATTGTCACTCAAGGCGTTTTCTTTTATGAGCTTTTCTGTGACTGAAAAGCCCGATACGTGATGTTATCTGTCTACCGCACTCCAGGCATTCAAAAATCTCATTGCTTTGGTGCCTCTTTACTTTTTGGTTGTCGCTCTTAACTGACTTTACAATTCTTCTCCATTCCGTTCTATTGTGAGCTGCCTCTTCCCACTCATTCTGCTTGTTAATTCCCTTTAAGTTTTCGTGGAAAATATCCTTCAACCTTTTGAGTTGTCCACCCGGCCTCCTCTTATCGTCTACAAGCTCACCGTAAAGCAGAGATTTCGGTATGCGGTTTTCTTGCATTTTGCATACGTGACCAGCCCATCTTATGCGGGATTTTGTAACCATGACTCCAATACTCTCGCAGTTAGCTTTTTCAAGGCCCCATTGAGACATGACGGAACCATTTGATTCTTAAGGGTTGTCTAAGGTGTCTCTTTTGCAACTTGTTTAATGCGTTCATGTGTCGGCGGTACGGCCACCCAGGTTTCGCTCCCATACAACATGGTGGGGATTATTATCGCTCGGTACACCGCAAGTTTCGTTTTTGTGCTCAAGTCATGATTGTAGAAAACCCTGTCTTTTAATTTCCAGAATGCTCTTGAGGCGCTGCTAATCCTGTGCTGAATTTCAGAGTTGATATTGGCCTTTTCCGAAATCAAACTGCCGAGGTAATTTAATTCCGCTAGATATTCCAACAGCTCATCTCCGATTATTATAGCACTGTTGTGATATTCCGGGGGAGTGCACATGATCTTAGTTTTATCGATGTTCAGCTTAAGTCCCAAGGCCTCATATGCCCATGTATATGTGTTCAACACTTCTTGCAATTGCTGTAACGTATTTGCAACTAGAGCACAGTCATCAGCGTATTGAAGTTCTGTGATGAATTTTGTACGTGTTTTTGCACTGAGTCTTTTTATGTTGAACAGACCGCCGTCGTATCTGTATCTAATGCCCAAACCTCTCTCCTGCAGTTTGCTGTCCACTATAATGGAGAGCGCTGCCATGAATATATTGAATAGGAGACGCGCTAAGACACATCCCTGCTTAACGCCTGTGTTTGTTAGGAAGGGATCGCTCAGGAAGGGATCGCTCTTGAAATAATTTTTGTTTCACTTTATTAAGGAAGCTTCCGGACATGCTCGTAATTAGTTTTAAAATCGATTTGAATACATTTAATGCTAAAAAAATTACTTATAAAATCATCTTTTTTTGCAGCATTTTGGTCATTCGCAATGACAGAAAAAATTTCTATAATTGCTTTATAATTTAGTTTAAGAGCAGCAACTGCATCAGCCTGGGCCGACCATATAGTACCACTAAGACGTTTAAGAGAAATTTTACACTGACTTAATAGAATAGACAAACGGTGGGTGGATGAGGAAAAGAATACGTATATTTCTTGAACTAAGGAAAAGTAATTGGAAGCCTGAAGACAAGATTCACTTGAAAAATTAACTGATAAGTTTAAAGAATGGCTCGCACATGGTATACAGCAGTAGGAGATAACAGCTTGATTCTAGCTTGCAGCCCGTTATAATTACCAGACATATTAGCTGCATTGTCATAAGATTGCCCACGACAGTTCTAAATTTTTAAGCCTAAGGCTTCTAGTTTTTTTAAAACAAGATCTTTAAGATATTCTGCCAGTGTGTTTTTCTATTTTAATCAATCCCAAGAACCTTTCCTCTACTTGTTTATTATGTATGTATCTTAAAATAAAAGTTAATTGATCACAATGGCTAATATCAGGTGTGGAATCTACTATAAGAGAATAATACTTCGCAGATTTAATTTCATTAAAAAATAACTCAGTTTTAAGGTACCGAGCAGAACAATAAATTATTATATCTATTAAACCCTTCTCGGTTAATCGTTGATCATGAACATTATATTGTACATAATAAAAAAATTTTGTTAAAATATTTACTTTACCTTTTTTAAAAGACCATTTATTTATTGACTTCTGCTTCATTTTCATATTTATTTTTTTTATGACCGAAATACGGGCCCCCAAGCGGCCGCTTGTTCCGCTTTATGTTAAACCGGCGCTGATAAATGCCTAGCCAGTTTTACATAAAACGTTAAATGCCGAACACTTATTTTGCTACTTTTTCGGACTAGTGAAATGGACTCTTAATGTGTGTTTTTTGTTTTAGTGTTTGTTGCTGAAGGAGGAGTTGAGTGCGTCGAAAAACAAAAGGATGGCATTCAAGACTGCTTAAATGCGACATTAAAAGATAGGTTACCGTCAGATGTAGATGAATTATCTGTTGCATCATTGCCTGTGTTGGCTTTTAACCAAGAAACTTGCCAGTAAGTATTTTTTTTTTCAAAGTGGGTATTAAGACATATTTTAGGTAAATTCATATTCAATTGCATTTCAATTATCAGCATTTCTGTGTTTTATAACGTTATTTTTATGTCTTAATTAATTTTATACTTGTTTTTGTAAGAATAGCCCCCCATACACCAGGAGTTTTGACCTGCGGATTTAGTCCGCGGACTTGGAATATTACTTAGCAAAACTCTCGTATTTTGGCCTGCGGACTTGGATTAAATATTCTCGTTTAGGACAAAATTCGACGTTTTATACCAGTTTTTATATAGATAAATGTTTATCGGAATAAAAAATGCCCTTAAATGGAAAGAAAATGAGTTCTCTTCCAATCCGCAAGTTACAAGTCCGCCGACTTTATTCTTCATTCGATTTTTTAGACCACGCTAATCTGACAGATTAAATCTGCGGATTAGGTCTGTGACAGACTTAGTTCGCCACACAAACACAAAGTTTTTATCCGCAAACCAAGTCTGCAGGCCAAATATTACTTATACCCCAGTCAAAATAAACAAAAAAAGGAGGTTAAATAACAATAATTCGCATAGAGCTGAAAATTCGTACAGGTCTTAAATACACTATTATAAATGATATCTGAAAAGTCCCCACCGCTCCCACGTCTGCTAAAAAAATTATTTAAGTTCAAAGGTTAAAAATATGTTTTCTTTTGCTTTTTTCTCCTAAACGGTAAGCGCTATCGCAAAAGTACCTTAAACAAATGTTGTAGGCCATTAAATTTTCTACAATAATTGTTCTTATACTTTTTTCTTACGAACCACAATTCCTGAGATATGGCGATTTCAAAAGTTGAAAAACTCGTATTTTTCATAATATGCACACATTTCCGCACCACCTGTGAGGTAGTGTACTTGGCGCGTTTTTTTAACCCCTGTAGGCCAAGTCCACGATCTATTATGGTCAAGTTTTATTTTATTACACATTATAATATTAATTTTAAAAAACGGTGCTCTTGGTAATGATTATAGTCAAACGGATTATTGTTGATTTTGGGAGACTTTTAATCTGAGTGGTAATCTTCAAATAATCTCAACAGTAATGTTGGCGCAGACGTATGCAAAGAGATTGACTCTTCTCCACAAGTCATCATCACATGTGGAATTCGCTTGCTTCTTGCTATACCCATCGTCGAGCGGGACATAGGAAATCCCATGTAAATTTTAATGGGGTCAATTATTGACTTCCCTAATTATTTTAGAGAATAATTCTATTTAGGTTTATTGAAGAGCACTAAAACCCACATTCAAAAGAATAACTTTAGATATTTTTGATTAGGCCGTTTACGAGTTATCGCCGATTTCTTTTTAAATATTTCTCCTTTCTTATGGCCCTGTATTTACTTATGAGCACCAGTCAAGGTAAAAGATAACTGTCAAATGAAGTTGTCATTTCAGAAATTTATCTATTTAGTGCTTAATTATTATTATTAAAAACTCATACCTACATCGAAAATATTAGCCATGAATTACACTACCGAAGAAAAAGTATTGATGATTAAATGGTATTATCAAGGAAATGGTTATCAAAAGGTGTCGGACATGTTTGCTGCTCTGTATCCGAATAGACCGATACCTGGAAAATCTACAATCGCAAGGAATAACCAGAGATTTGAGACCAAAGGTACACTAATAAATAACTGCAGATGTGAAGCAAGGCAGGAACAAAGAGAAGATGCAAGAAATGATACCGATTTTCTATTGTGCGTGGAAGAGAACGATGGAAAGATCAGCACAAGAAAACTTGAGGATGAAATAGGAATAGATCACACTAGAGCGTTTCGAATTTTGAAACGACATAAATACTATTCCTTCAAATATGAAAAGCACCAAGAGCTAGGAGATGGGGATGAAATACGGTGGCAGGCTTTTTTTTGATATGATGGAAAGAGTAAACACGGATAGGGAATTTTTAAAGCAAGGTCTCCTGATATTTTGCCAAACGATTTCTTTCTCTGGGGCCATTTAAAAAACAGGATAGACAAGGATAAAAAATACCCAAATCTAGACGAGTTAAAAAACGTTATTTCTGCCGAATGCAATACAATTTAAGTTTACCAACTAGCGAATGTAAGAAGAGAATTTTATGATCGCCTGGGTTATTGTCTAGCAGTCGATGGAGGAATATTTGAACGTCTTCTTAAATCCTAAAGTTCTAACAATTTAATAGTACCTAAATTAATAAGTTATTGAATATTGTAATAATACTATAAATAATCTTGTAATTGGTTACTTTATTTTACTTTAATTCATATTAATTTGTATTTATAAATACATCTTTAAGATTTCCGATGTAGGAATGAGTTTTCAATAATAATAAAGCACCAAATAGGTAAATTTCTGAAATGACAACTTCATTTGACAGTTATCTTTTACCTTGACTGGTGCTCATAAGTAAATACAGGGCCATAAGAAAGGAGAAATATTTAAAAAGAAATGGGCGATAACTCGTAAACGAGCTAATCAAAAATATCTAAAGTTATTCTTTTGAATGTGGGTTTTAGTGCTCTTCAATAAACCTAAATAGAATTTTTCTCTAAAATAATCAGGGAAGCCAATAATTGACCCCATTAAAATTTGCATGGGATTTCCTATCTCCAGTCCGACGATGCAACACACGGTATATGGTGCTCCAAAAAAATTGATTCTATAGACAAGTATAGATATTTAAGTTTTGTTAAAAATATTCGGAACAATAAAATGGTACAACTTTCTTGTCTTCCTCCAACATCTGCTTCTGCCTGTTAACACTTATATCGTGTATACTATCAAGTTCGATTGTGGCTAGGCAATCAACTGAACCCAGAAGACTGGGGTTGGACATTTATAGATAATACTTTGGAGCTGATTAAAACTTTACTTTCACCTGCTCCAGAAAAACTACTTAATACAATTTTTTGCAATTGCAAAAAGGGTTGTAGCGCAAACAGTGGTTGTAAAAAGGTCGGATTCTTTTGTAGACCAATATGTACCAATTGTCAAGGTCAGTCTTGCTCCAATTTTGACTGATGAGGAGACAGCTGATGCATCTTTCATAGATGGATTTCCAGATATTCCGCAAGAAGATGAGAAAGAAGAAAGCGAAGAAGACATTACTGTTGAAGTATCATTTGAAGATTACCACTCAGATTAAAATTCTCCTAAAATCAACAATAATTCGTTCGACTATAATCATTACCAAGAGCACCGTTTTTTAAAATTAATAGTATAATGTGTAATAAAACTTAACCACAATACATCGTGGACTAGGCCTACAGGGGAAACCACGTTAAAAAAACGCGCAAAGTACACTACCTCACAGGTGGTGCGGAAATATGTGCATATTATGAAAAATACGAGTTTTTCAACTTTTGAAATCACCATATCTCAGGAATGGTGCTTCGTAAGAAAAAAGTATAAGAACCATTATTGTAGAAAATTTAATGGTCTACAACATTTGTTTAAGGTACTTTTGCGATAGCGCTTACGTTTAGGAGAAAAAAGCAAAAAAAGCATATTTTTGACTTTTGACCTTTTTGAATAATTTTTTTAGCAGACGTGGGAGGGGTGGGAATTCTTCAGATATCATTTATAATAGTGTGTTTAAGACCAGTACCAATTTTCAGCTCTATGCGAATTATTGTTAATTGAAATGTCTATTTTGACTGGGGTATTATACTTATACTATGTCATGATCAATGACAAAAATCTATATTTTCTTGACTTCTATCTTGATTGGCATATTTGACGCTGACCGATGTTCATTGCTCTGTAATACTATTTTTTTTAATATTTCAACAACGTTCAACATACTGAAATATTTTACAAATAGAACTGGTACTTTACACTAATTTGCGGTACTGTAAAAGTATTGTTACAAAAACATAAATATAAGCATTATTGTTGGAGACAATAAGTTATTCTTTTATAATCTTCTAGAATATATCGACAGAAATAGAACAGTTTTATGTATGTATGTCTGCTTTTATGTTATGAATTTAATTTGCCATAATTATTTACAGAAAAACATTATTAGCTTGGTTGAAAACGGGTAATTATGTGCACGCATTAATAGTTAATAGGTACAAAATATGTATATTTTACACTGCCAAGGAGGCAGAGCTGCAAGCTCACAGAAGACCTAAGTCTTTTTTTGACTTACATCATTTTAAAGACACAAAAATACATTTTTTTTGAAAACTGACTTAAGACTTAAAGTTTAAGTCTTTTTCAAAATGATTTGTGATTTAAAATCTTTATTCCGAAATAGAAAAAGATTTAAGTCTTTTTAGAAAAAAATTAAGTTATTAAAAAGATTTAAGTCTTTTAAAAAAAACTTAAGTTATACAATTTTTTGATAAATTTCTAACAGCAGAATTTCTTTTTAAATTGTTAGGCGGCAGCCAGGACGCAGATAAAAAAATCATTACTCAATACCAATAATTAAAATGTTAGTTTTTCGGAACCGGTTTTGATTATTTGTCGTGTTACGCGTGCGTAGTGGGTCTGTTGTCTTTCATGTGAATCCATGGCTCGGTTATGCAGCCCGACAGACTAACTAAAGAAATTGATCTCGAATATATTGAAGAGTACATTAAAATCCTACAGCCCTTAGCTTATGCCAACGACATATTAAGCTGCGTATAAATATGTCGAGACGAGTGCGAGAGACACCCGAGACGAGTCAACCTCAAGCGGATTTGAGGTTGACTCGTCATATTGGGACGGGGTCTGAGCTTCGAGCCGAGCCTATGCCCAGCCGGACGGCGTTGTCTCTTTTTTCTCCGGAGCCTTTGGCGAACCATCAAAAGGATTGGGGCGTCTATTTAACCAGTGGCGTATACACCGCGGCTCCGCGGAACAATTGCCTCGAGTCTCAAGGGGCTCGGATTCCACATCTCATTTTTATATAAAAATAAATAGTTTTTCCTTTATTTGTAATAATGTTAATAATGCATCCTAACTAGAAAGATGCAATTTTGTCTTCTCTAAAATAGTATAGGTAAGTTAGCCAAAGTAGGTAAATCTCATATACAAAGATTTATTAGTGATTTCTTTTATAAAAACATGAAAATTTTATAAAAATGAATAAACGTAATGAACTTTTCGTCGAGTTATTAACGGCTCAAACGTAAATTATGCGCTTTTTCTGCTGAACGGAATTAAAGATGTGAAACAAGCTTCTTTACATATAGGATACATAGAAGATAAGAGAGGCAAATCGAGAGTGTTGAAAAAGGTGGCCATGCTCTCAGAAGTTCCTTACGGTACTCTCATAAATAAAGGGAATCGACAAAGAAAGGAACGATTCGATATAGAAAAATCCAGAAATTTGAACTATCCAGACTACTAAGAAACTTAATTTATGGCAAATATGAAAATAATAAAGTTCCCGCCATAGATATAATTAAAAAAAAACTCTCTGAGCTTTAAAAAAACCCTGTTCAGAAAGCACATTACGGCGAAGGTTTAAAAAACTGCATGGGAATTAGATTTAAAATTATATACATAATAATATTTTAAAAATTATTAATAAGCGTGCTGCAATGATGGAAAGCCATAGAATGATAATGTGGCGAATGGAATACCTTGAAAAAATATACAACTTTAGAAATGAAGAAATGCAGATATATTATTTACAATATTTGTTCCAGGTTAGTTATTGGCACTTAAATGTAGATTTAAATTAATAATTTAAATCTTAATTACATAAATTTCTAATTTTTTAAGTAAATAAAGTCGAATTAGGTCTTATCTTACAGCGCTTTCAAATGGAACGGAGCGTCCGCGACTTCGAGCAAGTACCATGAGCTTATATGAACAATTTCATTTGGGTTGCGTATGCTCCGTCCGGATGAGCTATCTTGAAAAAACATCCGTGCGGACGCTCTGCGCGTACGGTCCGCTCCATCTGAAAGCGCTGTTACTCTATTTAAAAATTTTATAGATATACAAACCACATACAAAATATATTATTGAATAAAATAATTAAAGACTCAAAAAAACGGCACTGGCAGAAGGCTCCGCCGCCGCCGCTGCCGTGTCGTTATCTCCAGGTATCTCAGTCGGCGTTCTCCAGTTTTTTTTTAATGTAAACAGCCCGAATATAATTTAAATTTATCATGAATTCCTTTAATTTATCTAGCTTGTTTTTTTACCTATTTTGAAATTAAACAAACATATACAGGGTGTTTCAAAAAACATGTTCCATCTCTCGTGGGGAAGTTCCTCACGTAAAAATAAGATTTATTTTTTATATCAACCAATCCAATTCTGCTTTGATTCGTAGCTACAGGGGGTTAAAATAGGGTTCCCAACCGTCCTCTATTCCAGAAACAGTCCTCTTTTTGATCTGATTGTCCTCTTTTCTCTCACGTATTGAAAACTTTGTTACATACTAACTTCAAAATCTAAAAAATATTCGTTTATCGCCACAATGCTTTAAAGAATTGTTAATCTGTGTCTTTTATGTAATTTTATGTTTACTTACTGTTAGTTTATGTCTTGAAAAAAAGTTTGTTGACAATGGTTTGCTTTATTTTAATAAGTTTTGAGTATAAATATTTTTGTGTATTTTAAATATTTATCGCATACCGTTTATATAACTTTTTGGTAAATTCTCGACATTTGAGCGACGTTTCAAAAATGTTTCGCCTGTGCCTTTTTTTATCCTCTCGCCCCTATTTTTTATTTTCAAAGTTGCCAACCCTAGGTTAAGTGTTTTATCATTTTCTTCCAAGTGCTTTTAGTAATTTGAGATCGTTTGATGACTGATTTAGTTCTGATCCGGGTAGTTTTTTGTATAAAACAGTGCCACCATCGTCGATTTTTTTCGTTAAATGCGAATAAGAAAATATCCTGATTATATTCTGGCCCTATCCCTTATTATTTTTATTTACAAGCGATCTTAAGTTTATAACATATACATATATTTTATTTAATTGTTAACATTAGGGTAGTTTTACCAATTGTGTATGTGTGGAATTCCACTGATATGTGTTTTAAGTTGTTTGTTAAATTTTTAAAATTTTTTGATTGTATTTTGCTCTCTTAACTTTGTAGTGTCCTGAAGATGCAAATAAATTTTGCGAAACGTCGACAAATTTAAAACAAAGGACTTCTGTTGATTTTTTTCGATCCTAATCCAATTAAAAAACACATTATACTTAAATTTATTAATTAATTTTTTAAAATATTGAATGGTATCGAATAATACTTTAATATATTTATCAATATTTTAAAGTATCGATACTTTATATTCAATACAACCGATACCAAAATATCGATACTGCCTCAGTATCGCACAGCCCTATGAAGAATTTTGTGGGTTCGCCAAAGGCTCCACTGAAAATGGATAGCCGCGAGACAACGCCGTTCGACTGGGCAGGGACTCTGCTCGAGGCTAAATCGCTCGGCTCGAGGCTATAATATGACGAATTCCGCTTGAGGTTGACTCGTCTCGTCCTCGTCTCGGCATATTAGTACGCCTTTTGGAAAGAATTTGCTATAGCCTCGTTTCATACTCGTATTTGCTATAGCCTCGTTTCATACTCGGGTTTGTCTCGTACTTGCCTCGGCATATTTATACGCGGCTTTACCTAGTGATCAAAACATATCAGCAATGGCGGCTCGTCAGGTGCAGTAGGTGAAGAGGCACTTCACCGAAAAAATACTCAAATTAAAGAAAAAACTTTACTTCTTCAAATATTAATTTAGTTTAATATATTTACATGTATCTAAATAATAAAATGGTAAATTTTTATAAGTTATTTATTTTTTTCTGGGTGGACCTCTGCATAATAGCTCCACCGCATCGTTAATTCCAACCGAAAAAGTAGTATTATAGGCCCGCAAGCGCCTACAAGTCAGAAATGCAAGTGAAAATGTTTCTATTTCTGAGCCAAGCGGCTGCACGGTTTCCATGGTAACGCCAGTCTAGCGGCAGATGTAAATCCCCCCGCCCCGAGGTTTATTATCGGCGACCGATGTGAATGAGACTTGTGTCTAGCGTCTAGCCCCAGCAGGCAACTATTAAGCCCGACCAATCACGTTAGAGTTTTTGACAAAAACTAATGAATTAACACACTCCAAATAACCACGCTAACCAACCTGATTGGTCAAGCTTAGGGGCCAGACACTTCTGTGAATGAGTTGTTGGTTTTGACCAGTTCTCTTCGTATTCCTTTTGTTCAGGAAATGCGTGACGGCGCCGGCGCGGCGGCGCATAATTTATGCATTTATGCTAATATTCGGCTACTTCGGCGAGTAATTAACCGTGTAAAGACTGAAAGTTGTTGTTGTTATTTATTGTTGTTTGTTAATGGCTTTTGTTGATTTAACTTGTTAATTTTTGCCGATTTTTACTGTTTGTTTTGTTGTGGTGTTTTAAAACTGTTTTATGTGTGTGTATGTGTTAAAAAATTAACCCAATTATTGACTTGGTGTGCAATTTATTGGAAAGTCCCTTCAGACGGTGGACAGATGAAGATAAGAGGGATGTTTTATCTCAAGGGCGACCAACTGAAACTTTATCCATAAATTGCAAAAAAGAAATAAGAAAAAGTGGTAAATCTTATAATATTAAATTTAAGTCTTCCTGGTTTTCTGATTTTAAATGGCTATGTAGCTAATATTGCTTAGTAAACATTAATGTAATAATAATTAATGTAATAATTATATAATAATTGAATGGCTCCTCGGTTGTAACCAACAATTTCTTCAATATCGAAATTTTAGTCAAAAAACCGAGGAAAAAACGTTATACCTATGAAAATTACAACCTTATTTCACTGAATTCTCTATTTTGAAAAAAATGTCGGTTACAACGTTTTTCGGGGAAGCCCTTCAATAATTACAGTGTTCGCGATAAAGTTGGATCCATATGGACGTTTTTTTGGTATTAGAGTTTAAATAAAAACTTCTGTGGCAATCAATTCTGCTTTAAAAACAACTTAAAATGCACCAAGTCAAAGGTGAAACATAATTTTGTTAGTCACCTTTTTTAAAATAATAATTATTTAACCAATTTTTAAAAATTTCTTTTAAATATTTTGTATTTGACAGCTCCCAGATGTTAGGTGTCAACTTTGACTTGGTGCTTGCTTTTTAAGTTGTTTTCAAAGCAGAAGTGATTGCCACAAAAAGATTTTTAAAACTCTAATATAAAAAAAAAACGTCTATATGGATCCAACTTTATGGGGGACACTGTATATACTGTTTATTATATTTAATTTAAATTTAATTATATTTTCACTGGAATGCAAAATAATGTGTTTATCGAAAACTGGTTGTAACTTGTATCTCTTTTTACTTAATGTGTTTTAGCCCAAACTAAAACGAAAATATTATAGGAATTAGTGCATAAATAATAACAAAAAAAGAATGTTGACAAAATGGTGAATGCAGCAAAAAAGTTTTAAATAATATTTTAAAAAATGTTGACAAAATGGTGAATGCGCCAAAAAAAGTTAAAAAATTAACTCTTCACCTAATTTTATACCCACGAGCCGCCACTGATATGTTGCATAAATTTCCCGATTACAATTCGGATCACCCTGATTGCTAGAATTACATAATAAATACAAAAACAATACAAATCTAAAGGGAACAATTTGTAATCCAATGCTTTCTTACCTGTCTCGTATTTTTTTATAAAATAAAGTCTTAATTATCTTCAGTTTTTATAAATGAATCATAGAATTGCGCTTACTAAAACTTATTTTCAATTTCAGAGATTTTGCCACAATTCGTGACTGCGTCACAAACGTTTTGGAAAAGTGCGAGAATACCACTCCGGCTAACATAGTTGATGCTTTCTTTAAATTTTTGAAGAAACAAATGCCCTGTGGAGAACCAGCGGTACAAACAGTTGCAGCCAGTCAGCAGCCTAAGAGCTCCGGCGTGAGTCTAAGCTCCTCCTTGGTCACCTTTGTCGTAATGATACTTTCCAGATTTTATTAATTGAGTTTATTACATATTTTTATTTTAAAAATTGATAGGGCATTTGATTTGTTTGATACTGTTCTTTTAGTTGAAAATTAATCCTTCTATTTGATTGTGTTTAAAACTACATACATATAATAATATGTTAAATTATTAAATAGAAACCATACCAAAAACTAATTATGGCCAGCTTTTGTATAGATGGACTAATTAAAAGAAAATAATATGTAATTTGTATTAATAATATAAACACATTTGAACTTTTAATGTTGCTTGACGTAATCAAACACATAATTGTAATTACAAATTAAAATGCCGGGTGCATACTAAAAATTCAATCACAGGCACGAAAAACGGGCACTTTCAAATTTTGATATATTTTAGAGTTTAATAGGTATATTTTGTTCTACTGGGCCGATTTTGATGATTTTTTAAGCAATTTGTAGACCTCTCTTCAGTCCTTCACCCTACGTGAGAGTATGGTGACATCATGTCTTGATTCCCCTCACTTCCTCGGACCAAGTTGTTCGACACTGCACCATATGTGAGGCTTCGGGGAGGTTGTGGCCCACTAGGGTTTTGATTTGGTCTACCCACCTCTTAGGTGACCTTCCACGTGATCGTCTTCCCTCTACCTTCCCTTCCATCAGTCTCTCAATTGACGTGCCACTCCTGGCAATATGGCCACAATATCGGAGGATTGACTGATTTAATTTGGTAACCAGGCGTGTCTCAATTTTTAGTTCTTCAATAATAGAAATGTTTGTTCGACGAGCGGTTCATGGTATTCGCAGCAGCCGTCGATCTACTCACATCTCCAAGGTGTTTATTCTTTGCTTATCACGTTCCATTAGTGTCCATATTTCAGAGCCATACATAGCTATGGAGAAAATGGGGGAGTTTGTAATGCGCAGTTTAGTTTTCCGTTTGATTACTGAAGTTTTCCATATCTTAGGCTAAGAACATAGTGAAGCGACGAGGATAGCGGCAAGCAAGCCTCGAGGTGCTGAAACATAGTAGATCGGCGAGGAATAGCGAGGTACTTGTGCAAATTTATTATTTTCATTTGCTTATTGATAATTTAAAATGTTAACAGTGGCAAAAATTATGGGCAGTAGTGTCGCAAACATTTGGTTACATGAAATTTTCAAAAACCGGAGAAAGTGTGGCAAGTTTTATAACCTTCACGAAAATTTGTGGCCACTTCATCTCATAACTTATCTAAAATGTACCGGTTATAGTGATTACTATCTTTCTGATCCCATAAAATCTCTCTTACAAGTACTAAATCTGTTAATTTTTGGGAATCTATCATTTTCTACAGCGCGACAGGGCCACGAAAACAAAATTATTTGAATCGATCTCACCGCTCGATCTAACCGCTCGAGCAGATCGCTTTACTACGTTCGGACGTACTTGTCTTCACAGGTTTGTTTTGAACGCAATGTCGCGTTGCTTGCTCGCCGCTATCCTCGTCGCTCCACTATGTTCTTAGCCTTAGTCAGCTTTGTTGTTGCATTCCTTGCCATTGCAACTCTGCGCTTGATTTCAGCCTCGCACCCTCCAGAGTTTGCTATCGTGGAACCTAAATAGTTGAACTGGCTCACAACCTTGTATCCAGCCACGATTCGGACATCAGGTTGGTTGTTGCGGAGGCGGTCAATCATCGTCTTGGTTTTCCGTTTGCTTAGTTCCAAGCCATATTCTTTACTAATAGAGCACAGTACAGCCATAACTTCCTGCAACTCTTCTTTGCTGGCGGCTATAATTACGGCTATAATCATCCGCGTATCTCAGGTTATTTATCCTCCTGCCCCCATGGATATCCCAACGTTCCATTTTTCTATTACTCGACGCATGATATATTCAGTGTAGATATTAAACAGGATTGGCGAGAGTATACATCCCTGCAGGGCCGCGCCGACCCCTGGCAAAACCTATGATGCGCCTTTTTTGTCGTCTTTATTCGACATGACATTTTTTTATTTTTAATATTTGGACTGAAATATGTTCTGCAGTTTTATATAATTTTTAAATATATTATTTTCCTAAATATGTAAAAACGGTGCGCTTCCGCTTGTCAATTACTACCATTTATAGTATGGCCATCGTGCTCATAATCAACTCTTTGGAGTTTTACGACCTCTGGATCTCTGGATCAGGAAGTTTAAAATTCAGCTTCGACATTTAACTTTTTGGCAATTTACATGGTATCATTTACAAAATTTGTGAAAATTTTTGTCGGTTCTAATTTCTATCAAAAACTTCTTTAATTCCGTTTAAGCATCTAAAGCTTCTTGCATATTCATATCGATGGATTGTTGACTTGCTTTCACAAAATTTACTGTTGTCAATAATATATGTCATGCCTATACATTTAGTAAAGAAATAAATGAAAAAGTACATATTTTTTCTGAAATTAGACATTTAGCAACAAAATAAAAGACTAATTCACCACAATTCACCTAAGCACTTTACTTTTCCACTGAACGCGCCTTTCACTAATCATGTTCATTAAGCATCATCAGCAGATTATTATTAAAACTGACGCGTCCAGTGCAAAAGTTAAGTGTTTGATATACTGTGGTGAATTAGGGTTTTATATTGCTGTTGTAACACCAAAGGCTCTAAGTATAATAAACATTTAGCGTCATATTTTTTCTTCTGATCGAATGATGCAGGTGCCATTTGATATATCATACCTATAAGGAATACATTTGGGATAAATTTGTATACCAATTTTTGTTTTATTTTCATTTTGCTTGACCATCTGTTTTCGGATAATGGTTTTAAGGTTAGATTTAAAATATATTTTTTTAATAAATCCCATCTTTTGATAGAGGACGAAAAATATCTATATAATTTTTGCACAATGCTAAATAATCCAGTCGTAATAATTGAGGTTGACAGTGTCCTTTACTGCTAGCGAAGGGTATATGTATATAAAAAGCGCGAGGTTTAGACCCAGTAAATTTTTTTTGAAGACCATTGTTCTTACCGAGCATATTTTAAGACCCACATTCATTTTTTTAGTTCTTCTACGAGTATTATAAACGATGTTAAGCCAGCGCCATCTGTATAGATAATCATACAAAACGCTAGAAAATGCTTTCCTATTTTAAACATTTTAGTTTCTGTGTTAAAACTGACAAATCTTATAATGTTACAAATTTGCTCTAGGTACGTGTCAGCAGTGCATTCAGCAGTACAACTCAGTATTATTTAAAAAATGGCGCTGGCACTTCATCCGGCGCCCCTATTGCTATAGCGCCTGTGTGCGCCGCATACTTCGCACACATGGGCGGCTCGGCCCCGCATCCCTGTCTCACACTTGCGTTTCTCTTGAAACCATTCGATAACGTGTTAATTTGTAGATACATTATTTGAATTTTTAGTATCTCTTTCTAAATTAAAAGTTAAAATTTCCATCTGTCATTTGGGGGGAAAACAAAATGTTGATGTTAACAAAGCAAGGAATTTAAAAACTATTTTATCATCTTGGCGCGTCTTTTTCATTAGTTTGTTTTTTCATTCATCTCATTAGTTTTGTTTTTATTGGATACATTCGCTTTTGAATAAGACAGTAACTATTTACAGCAATGATGGCATTGTTTTTAGGTCTTCATCAACACACTTATAAAATAGAGTGTATTGTTTTGGTAATATCACTATCATTGAAAAGTCATATTACTATTGTTTACTGACGTTTACTCTAGAAGAGATTGTTTTAAGTTTTGAAGCATCGGCTGTTGTTGCCTTAATTGATTCTGGTAGAGATCAACTTTTGGACTTAAAACCAATCTGCTAGAGTAACTGCCCAACAGACAACAATAATTCAATTTTTGAAAGACAATCACATTACATAAATCATAAACACTATTTTATAGGTCTGTTTTCTAGGAGTAAAAGCAAAGGCGTGGTTTTAATGTAAAAAATACGAAAAAATGTAAGTGTCTTCTTCAAAAGCGAACATCTCCAAAAAAAATAAAGCTATTGAAATGAATCAAAAAGCAAACTATCGAGAAGAGATAATCTAGATGATAAAATAATTTTTAAATTCCTTGCTTTGTTAACGTACTCCACAGGGTGTTTCAAACTTTCAACAACAAACATTTTGTTTTCCCACACTGATACAGATGACAACTTTCATTTTTAATTTAAAAAGAGATACAAAAAGTAAAATAATTTAGCTACAAATTTACAAACTTTAATTAACACATGGAAATTTTAAGGTGCTCGTTTTTCGTGCCGGCGAAATTTCTTTTCTGTGTATACTTTCAACGTATAATATGTTAAGTAGTAAAAGTAAGCTATGTATTTTATTCATATATTTATATAGGATTATTTGGTCTTAATACCAAAGTATTTTAACTTTTTTTATATTATGCAGATTTCATAATATATCAATGATTCTTAATGACAGTAGATCTGTCATTAAGAATCATTTGATTTACGAACCTTTATAATATCACCGATTATTTAGATATATTGACATTCTACGGGATGTGTAACGATGTCAGTAGCACTGTAACTATTTATATTTATTCACTAAAGTTTTTGTGTTACGTTTGATGTTAGTCATAATTTTTCCACCATTATACAGGGTGATTCGAACTGTATTCCGGAAACTTCGGTAGCTGCAGATAAAAATAAGTAAAAAAGTTCGTTGTTAAAAAAGGACATACATTTAGTATGTCCTAAAATGCTTAGTTTCAGAGATACAGGGTGCAGAAGTTTCAATTTTATTTGGAGATTTTTTCCAAGTAATTTATGAAATAACGTCAATATTTGGATGAAAATTGGCGTCTAAGAGTTTTTTGACATGAGAAATTTGAATATATGACTCCTGTGTAGGTGGCGCCCTATGCAAGTGGGACATATTTTTTAACTGGTTTGAAGAAACTTTTCGTCCGAACCTGTATAAAATTGCTGAGTAAAAAATATACATTTACGACGTTTTTACGTAAAAAGGTCTTTTGGAAATCGTTCTCCAGATATTTGGAATCGAAATTATCAATACCTGTTATCATTGTTAAATTAAACAAACATGTTGACTAAATAGTTATTACACTGAAATTATAAATTCAGAAATGGTTTTGTGCCAAAAAATCAACAGGAAACTGTTTTATCGTCATTTTTTCGCAGAAAAATTTGTGATAATTTAAAAAAATAAAAATTTCACGAACTTATTTATTTCAATCAAATAACTAACTGCTCTTCGTGTTTATTTTTTTGTTATATTTTGTGTTTATAATGACATGTATTGACTATTTCCATTCTAAATATGTTGAAAACGGTTGCTCGTAGCGATTTTCACGAAGACACATTTTTTACGTACAAATTCAAGTTTTAAGTGAGTAGTTTTATACAGGTACGGACGAAAAGTTTTTACTCTTCAAAACAGTTAAAGCGCACGTGGGTGGAGCCCTCTACAAATAGGAGTCTTATTAACATCAAAAACAAACTTCTCATATCAAAAAACTCCTAGACACCAATTTTTATCCAACTATTGACGTTTCTTCTGAAATGATTTGGAAAAAATCGAAATAAAAATGAAACTTCTACACCCTGTATCTCCGAAACTAAGCATTTCAGGACATACATTAGACGAACTTTTTTACTTATATTTATCTGCACAATATGCTGCCGAAGTTTCCGGAATACAGTTCGGACCACCCTGTAGTATGTAACAAATAATATAATTTCAATGTTTTAAAATTTATTAGTTTTAAAGATTTTTATAAGTTTTAAATTAAATTTATATGTTTTTTAGAGACACATATATTCTATTCATAAAGCTACAAACAACGTTACATAAAATGAATTTTATCATAAATATATTAGTTATAACAGAACATCTTTCTTTAAATTTTATTGAATAGCTTAGTTACTGCCTGATTATTTCTTATTTATTTTATCTTTTTTTTTGCTTTTTACTTATTTCGACATTTCTAATATTTTACTGTTTTTATTAATTGAGCAACAATTGTTTTGTTAAGGCGGTTTAATTAGACATTTATTTGTACTTTTTACTTGTGACACAGATGGGTATTTTTGTTTCTTTAATTAACAGAATATAACAAGAATTAGTTTCATTGTGATATTAGTATAAATGTCAGTAAGTTATCAAAGGAACATTTTTAAGGTTTATAATAAAAACAATAATTAAAATATGTATTTTTAATTAATACCTCGAGTTTTAAGAAACTACTTCAACACATTTTCCTTCAATAATTCTTTCCTTCAACTACTTCAATTTCCAAGAAGAATAATTGTTTATTCATCATTCATTAACTAATTTATTATATAATTTCTATACATAAAAAGGGTGACAGGAAAGAATGTAATAATAATTATAGAGGACTAACAATATTAAGTACGGCGGTCAAAATCTTTGAACAAATAACAGAAAGAAAACTGAGATCAATAACAGAAGCAAGTTTAGTAAATTCCCAAAGTGGATTTAGAAAAGGAAGAAGCACTCAGGATCATATTTTTACAATTTAAGAAATTATAAACAAAACTCTGACACATAATAAAGGGGCATACTTCGCATTCCTAGACATGGAAAAAGCATTTGATAGAGTCCCAAGACAAGAAATATGGACCCCGTTAAAGAAACGAAATGTTGGTGATAAAATGATCAATGTAATAAAATGTTTATATGAAGAAACGAATATGTAATCTTTGACGGAACTAACAATTACGTAGAATGTAGAATGTTTAGGAGGGGAGTTAATCACCCCGACCTTATAGATCTATTGTGTGTTCCCCTTTCTTGAGTTATAACGAGTTATAACTCATCATACAGTCTCAGGGTTTTAACAAAAGCCAGTATCTGAGACGGCTCCACAGAGGCCAGCTCTCCATCCTCGACATCAGACGTACCAAAGTTCATGGCACGAAAGGTCGTTGTCTCGGCGCACTCAGTGATAAGATGTTCTGGTGTTTCCCCATTTTCCCCACAGAATCTGCATTCGTCGTTGTTTCTCAGCTTCAGCCTACTGAGGTGTTCCTTGAGGAGACAGTGTCTATATGCATGCTTACATTCTCATTCTGAGGCTGGATAAGGTCAAGCAGGTAGGTGGTGTCTTTCCCCTTGCTTCTTGGCAGAAAGACCGTGATGGTTGTCCCTTTAGGGATGTTTTCTCCTCTCATCGCAACCAGGCTTAGGTGCCGTTTCCACCAACCAATCCGCCGATTTTTCAGATGCACAATCTATGAGAATCATGCCTACCCTAAAGTGTATCTTCGCAAAGCGCAGCTGACCCACACAGTGATGCGGAGATCTCTTTGGATAATATCACACAGGGTGCCTTCATGTTTCCCCCGTGCACTGATGACTATGTCATCTGCATACCCTATGCAGTGTATGCCCGCTAGAGTTAATTCTTCCAGTAGTTCATCCACTACCAAGCTCCACAGTAGGGGGGAGGTCACTTTACCTTGTGGAGTTCCTTGCGTTGTTTTAACAACTACAGTTTTGGTACATATCTCAGCCTCTGCTGTTTGTGTCGAGAGCATTTCCCAAAACTAGCGAATTATCGTACTGTTCACCCCTCTTGTTTCAAGAGATCGCTGGACCACCTTGTGAGGTATATTGTCAAACGCCCCTGCAATGTCCAAGAAGGCACAAAGTGCTGTTTCTTTGCTATCCAGGCTTGCCTGTATTAGCTCAGTTAACTGGTACAGAGCAGTTTCTGTGGATCTGCCAGCTCTATATGCATGCTGACTATCGTGCAGTGGTTTAACCTGTAGATGATTTACTCTAATATGGTTGTCCACTACTTTCTCCATCGTTTTTAATATGAACGATGTGAGACTAATAGGCCTAAATGATTTGGGGTTAGCCCAGTCAGTTTTGCCTATTTTGGGTATGAAGATGACTTTAGCTCTTCTCCAGATGGTTGGTATATATCCCATCGCTAAGCTGCTTCTTGTAATGTTTAATAGATGGTGTGTAGCTATTTCCTGACCCTTCTTTAGAAGGGCAGGAAAAATCCCATCTATTCCTGCCTTTTTATAAGGCTGAAAGGTGTCAATAGCCCATTTCAGTTTTTGTTCTGTTATTACTAGCTTGGCCGTCTCCCAGTCTTCCCTGCGAGGATTGTGGGGTTCGGTCGGAGCTACTTGCGTATCAATAGATATGCTACCTGGGAAGTGTGTATGAAGTAGGAGGTTAGCTCTCTCTTCATCACCTTCTGTGTAGCTTCCGTCAGGTTTCTTATGTGTCATGTTAGGGATGGGCCCACTCTTGGTCATAGCTTTGTGTAGTCTAGCTGTATAAGTAGTTGAAGTGATGTTTTCGCAAAAGGATCTGAAGTCAGACCGCTTTGCCCTTCTAATCTCCTTATTATATTCAGTTAATTTCTCGGTGTAGAGCTGCCATTCGCCGCTGGGTTTGGCTCAGTTGAGCTGTCGGACCTCCGATCTAAGATTGGCCAGCTTTTTGTTCCACCAGGGCTTGTTGTTCTTGTTTTTGTTCCACCCTTGCGTACCATTTTAGATACAGGTGGTTCCTAGCCCTACCTGCATCTATTTGGTCCAGGTTGTCTACGAGATTGGTGTGGTATAGTTCCCAATCGGTTTTTCTTGGATTCCCCTTCGAATTTTAGTTTGGAGTATGATTCCTCCTAATTTGAACTCGATGATTCTGTGATCTGATAGGGAAGGTTCCGTTGAGACCCTCCAATCTTTCACGTAACTAGTTACACTAGAACTCCCGATTGTTAAATCTAATACTTCCGCCCACGTTTTTGCTACAAACGTGGGGGTGTTCCCTATATTGAGAACTTCAAGTTGTATGCTAAGAGGAATTCTAGTAAACACTCACCTCTAGTGTTAGTATTAGTGCTTCTCCATACCTCATTGTGCGTATTGGAGTCACGTCCCAATAGCAGAGGTAGTCGCCGTTGGCTGCAGAAACGC